GAGGGGTGAGTTGAAAAGAGGGTGGGAAGCTACTCATATGATGTATAAATACCAGCATGGACACGTGAGCTGAATGGCCTGTTTCTGTACTGTATATTGAGTGCAAATTTTCACGTATGGATAGAGTCTAGTCACCTACTACTCTTGACCAAACCCAGTGTAAAAAGATTTAGAGCCATACTGTCATACAGCACGGAAACAGACCCTTTGGTCCAACTCATCCATAACAACCAAGTTTCCCAAACCAAACCAGCCCCACCTGCCTGCTCCTGGCCCATATCCCTCAAAACCTTTCCTATTCACGTACCTTTCTTTTAAACATTGTAACTGTGTCTGCATCTATCGCTTCCTCTGGCAGTTCATTCCACACACGTACCACATGTAAAAAAGCTGCCCGTCAGGTCTCTTTTAATCTTTCCCCCTCATCTTAAAATTATGCCCACTAGTTTTGAGCTCCCCTATCCTAGGGAAAAGACCTTTGCTGTTCAACTTATCTCTGCCCCTCATGATTTTATAAACCTCTGTAAGGTCACCTCTCAACCTCCTACGCTCCAGTGAAAAAAGTCCCAGCTTATCCAGCCTCTCCTTATAACTCATTCCCAATTTAAGCCTTTTCTGCACCCCGTCCAGTTTATTACTATCCTTCCTAAAGCAGGGGGACCAGAATTGTACACAGTACTCTAAAAGTGCCCTCAGCAACATCCTGTACAACCCCAACATAACGTCCCAACTCCTATACTCAGTGGTCTGAGCAATGAAGGCAAGCGTGCTAAACGCCTTCTTCCCCACCCTGTGTACCCGTGATGCAACTTTCAATGAACTATATACCTGAACCCTAGGTCTCTCTGTTCTACAATATTCCAAACTGGTGTAGGTTATTGCCAAGCTACTTTCATTTTTTAGAAAATTCTTAATGAACCTGCTCAGAGATGTTATTAAATACCTTTGGAGCAGGTGGGACTTGAACCCTGGCCTCTTGGTCTGGAGGGAAGGACGCTATACTGCACCACCTCCTAAGCCACCTCGGGCAGCTGTTTACCAGATGATGGTGGCAAAGGCCTGGTACAGTACACAACACCTCCTGCCACACCACCTACCATCCCCTCAGCTTGTCCAAATGCGAATGGAGGTTTGAGTCCCACTGCGGAGACTTGAGTAGGATATCTAGTTGGATGTTCCCAATGCAGTACTGAGGGAGTGCCGCAGTGTCAGAAGATGAGGATGAGATGTTAAATTGATGCATAGTTTTTCCCTCTTGAGTGGATGTAACATAGAAACATGGAAGATAGGAGCAGGAGAAGGCCATTCAGCCCTTCGAGCCTGCTCTGCCATTCTTCATCATCATGGCTGATCATCCAACTCAATAGCCTAATACTACTTTCTCCCCATAACCTTTGATCCCATTCGCCCCCAGTGCTATATCTAGTCGCCTCTTGAATACATTAAATATTTTGGCATCAACTACTTCCTGTGGTAATGAATTCCACAGGCTCACCACTCTTTGGGTGAAGAAATGTCTCCTCAGCTCTGTCCAAATGGTCTACCCTGAATCCTCAGACTGTGACTCCTGGCTCTGGGCACACTCACCATCGGGAACATCCTCCCTGCATCTACCCTGTCCAGTCCTGTTAGAATTTTATAAGTCTCTATGAGATCCCCCCACATTTGTCTGAACTCCAGTGAAAACAATCCCAACCTAGTCAATCTCTCCTCATACGTCAGACCTGCCATCCCCGGAATCTGCCTGGTAAACCGCTGCACTCCCTCTAGAGCAAGAGCATCCTTCCTCAGAGAAGGAAACCCAAAACTGCACACAGTATTCCAGGTGTGGTCTCACCAAGGCCCTGTATAACTGCAGCAAAACATCCCTGCTCCGGTACTCAAAACCTCTCGCCATGAAGGCGAAATCCCACAGCCACTATTTCGAAGAACAGGTTTGGAGGTTTTTTTTTTGGTATCCCAAATATCCCTTTTCTGTCAATCCCCTGCCAATTCCCTTTCTGGCCTGTGTCTGATTTTCAACTCACCAAAATAGGTGCAGGCCATTCACTGGTTCATTTTTCAGAGTCAACCGGCCTGTTTAAAATTGAAACAAAGCCCAGCGATTAACTGTCAATCATCATTAACTGGTGCATTCCCACAGTGACACTTCTCCACTTGCCAACAAATCAGCACTCTCCTCTCACACAACATAAATGCCTGTTTTCTGCTTGAATTTGTATTCTTGTGAAATGTCCTGATGGGTGCAAGATGGAAAGCTTCAAAAATATGCATCTTATAGCAGCAATACTCAATTTTATTAGCGTGACAAATCCTTGTATTCTCAGCACAGATCTTGATTTGGGTGGTAAATACATTTAAAGGAAGATTGAACGATTTCCTTCCAAGATGTAATCACTACCATTCGAAGCAGTAATGCTGGGTTCAATCACAGATTCAATCTCTCGGGTTGCCAACTTTGATTGACCGTATTCCTGGAGATGTCAATACATGACCTTTCACCTCCAACCTGCCACCCATGGAGTTCTGCCATTGGCTAACCCAAGTCGTCCATCCTCACAGGGCCCAGCTCAACTTTATTTAAGTCAGCATCTTTAACTCAAACAAGACTTTCCTCCTCACTCACTAAAGCACAGCCCTGGGGGTTAGGCTGCAGATCCCAGGGACTCCAGGTCATTCCCCGGAGAGTTGGTAACAATTTGTTCAATCCCAAGAAGATACAGAAGCCTGAACACACACACAAACAGGTTCAGGAACAGCTTCCTTCTGGCCGTTATCAGACTGTTGAATGGACTCTAGCCTCAAATAATGTAACCTGTATGTCTCTAGGTCTTTTTGAGATGTACATTGTTTGCTTGCTATGATCTGCCTGTACCCGCTCATAAACAAAGCTTTCCACTGTGTTTCGGTACACATGACAATAAAATCAATCTTGGGAGTTAGCTGAAGCGACAGTGTGAGGGCTCTGTCATAGGCCTTGATGCAGAAATTCTCAGCCGCTCCTGATTGTTAATACTGTGGGATTGGAGTCCAGCTACGTTACTCCCTCACGGTTGGACAGCCTGCCAAGAACGTGAGACCTGGCTCAATCAGTGACACTTTTCATCTCTGAACCACGTGGTCCTCGTTTCAACTCCTACTCCAGGGCTTTTCTTTATTTCGTTCACGGGACAAGGGCGTCGCTGGCCAGGCCAGCATTTTATTGCCCATCCCTAATTGCCCAGTTGGCTGTTAGGAGTCAGCCACATTGGGCTGTGGATCTGGAGTAACACATAGGCCCGACCAGGTAAGGATGGCAGTTTCCTTCCTTAAAAGAGATTAGTGAACCAGGTGGGATTTTCCAACAATCTTGAATGCAAAACCAAGGCCGACATTCCCAGTGCGGTACTGAGGGAGTGCCGCACTGTCAGAGGTACCATTTTATAGATATAACATTAAATCAAGGCCCCGTTTTCAAGTTCAGGCAGATGTGAAAGATTCCATATGGGTGCTACTTCAAGAATGCTATCACCAGTGTCCTGTAGCTAATATATATCCCACCACTGGAATCACAAAACAGGCAACTAGTTGTCATTGCATTGTGACAAATGTTTGCCAACCTTAATCCTGGGATAGAAGTACAGTCATAGGATTAACGATTAAATAGATTGGGCCTACATTCTCTAAATTTAAAAAAATGAGAGATGATCTCATTAAAACTTCTAACATTTTTCACCCGGCATAGAGTCATACAGCATGGAAACAGACCCGTCAGTCCAACCAGTCCATGCTGAAGGCCATAATCCCAAACTAACCTAGTGCCACCTGCTTGCTCCTGGCCCATATCCCTCCAAACTTTTCCTATTCATGTACTTAAAACGTTGTCAGTGTACCAGCATCCACCACTTCCTCAGGAAGCTCATTCCACATGAAGAGAATGGATGTAGACAGGATGTTTCCCTTGGCTGGTGGTTTCAGAACCTGGTGGGAGGGGCAGGGGTTCATAATCTTAGAATAAGATGAGGAGAAATGTTTTTCACTCAGAGGTTGCTGAATCTTTGGAATCCTGTAGCCCAGAGGTTTGTGGAGGCTCAGAGTGTTGAGTATGTCAGAGATCAATAGATTTTGTGAAAAACGTCAAGGGTTTTGAGAGTGGGGAAATGGTGTTGAGGGAGAAGGTCAGCCATGATCTCTTAAAATGGTGGAGCAGATTTGAAGGGCTGAATAGCCTACTGCTGCTCCTATTTCATACTTTCACCACGTTCGTGATCAAAAATAAAAATGGCGAAATGATTTGAAGCAATTGTGAACAGTTCCATCAGCGCTTTATAGCACAGTTTTAAGGTTATTAGACAAGAGATTACAATACTTCAAACTGACAGTGAAAGGCTGATGAGGACTTCAAGGAGGGAGTGTTTCCCCCAGATTTAAAAATTGAGAGTGCGTTCTTGAGAAAACCTAACATCAAATCTGGCTTTGAGTATGTCCAGTTTTGGTGGGACCAACAATATTATGGAAACTGCGCCCCCAAGTTTGTGATCCAGCAATTGGAGTGAAGTCAAAATCAGTCAGTGTTTGGGAGTGCAAGTTTGGGGTGCTGGTTTGACCTCACCAATGCAATAACCAGCAACTGGGAAATAAACGTTGAGAACAAAACTCTTTGCAGGCAAGCTCCGAACATCCAACGTTGCATGAGCTCGCCAGGATCAGACAGTCAATGCAAAAGTTAATTGTATTTAACAGCATCAGCGTGGCTCTGTCTCTCTCTCTCATTTCTGAGTCAGAAAGTTACTGGGTTCACTGAAAATTGAGCATTTACGTTCAGGCAGACACGCCCGTACAGTACTGAGGGAGGGCTGCACAGTCGGAGGTGCCACTGTACAGAGGAGATGCTACATCAAGATCCACGTCTGCCCTCTCCAGTGGAAGTAAAAGATCTCATGATGCTACGTGAGCAAGGGCAGAGATCTCCACCCTAACCCCCACCCCCAACCCCCACTCCCCTGCAGTCCTGACCCAATTGTACCCTTTAACCCAACATCTCTCGCAAACACAAAGCAAGCAGATGATCTACCACTGCTGTCCATGGGAGCTTTCCACAGTCAGGTCACCTATCATGTTTCCAGCATTGCCACACACGCGCGGCCGTGCAGTTCAGAAGAAAGTACATCATTGGCTGTGAAGTTTGGGCAGTTCCGAGGTCGGGGACAGGCGCTACAGAAATGCAGGCTCCTTTCTGCAGCCCCGGGGACCACAGAGAAGCCCACGAGGTGGGCTCTGGGACCTGGTGGTGGCACAGTCACTTGACCCCAGCTCGCCCTCGAGGAAAGGATCCTCAGTCGGACTCAGTTCCAGTGACCATCCGCCAATGTCTCACCAAGGACAGAAGCGGATACAACATCAGAAATAAAATTGGGGGAAGGACTCAACAGTTCCAGTGAGCTTAATTTCGATAATGTATTTAACAAATATTTCATGGCCAGGCCTGATGAGTCAATGGGCTCAAAGAGACAGTTAGCAGAGCTTAGGAGCTCAAGTATCCAGGGGCCAGGCCAAGTGCAAGTCCCTGGGGTCTCCCTACATTGGTCCTCGCCCCAGTCCCGGTTGGCGCCAACCACCCACCCTGGTGCTCATGAGGGAGGCGTCAAGTGGTTGAACGGTTTGAAAATGTTCCACGAGGACTTGGAGTCATCGGTGTTCTTCTTGGGCTTCAGGCAGTTCTGAGGCCACTTGTCCTTGGTCAGGAAGTACAGTAGTGCGTTGAGCCAGGCATTGAAGCTGGCCAAGGGCCTGGTGACCTTGTAGCAGATGGTCACCACCCTCTTGGTGGCACAGGCCACGTCTGGGACGGCCTTGTTGACCAGGAAGATGGTCTTGGTCACATGGAATGGGAGGAAACAAAGGGCGAAGAGAAGGGTGATGGTCACGATGGTCTTGATGGACTTGCGCCTCTTCTCCAGGCCCGGCACAGCCGACTTGAACTCCTGGTTGTTGATGGTCTTGAAGATGGTCTTAATCACGCGAGAGTAGCACCAAGCGATGATGGAAAAGGGCAGGAAAAAGCCAACTGAGTGCAGGATGATCCCGTAGGGCACGTAGTGTGGGTACTCGGTGTCAAGAGCGTCGTCCCAACAGTTGGTGGCATTGTTGAAGGCGGCAGTCTTGGCGAAATGAAAGATGGGGCAGGTGAGGGCCAGGACCACCAGCCACACCAGCACGCAGACCACCCGGGCTGTCTTCTTAGTCTCCATGGTGATGGTCTTCATGGGGTGGCAGATACCAAGGTAGCGGTGGAAGCTGATGCAGGTCAGGAAGAAGATGCTGCAGTAGAGGTTGAAGTAGAAGAGGAAGCGGACCAGGCGGCAGGTGAAGTCTCCAAAGACCCAAACATCATGCATGATGTAGCTGGCTATGAGGAACGGCAGTGACAGTCCATACATGAAGTCAGTCAGAGCGAGATTGAACATGTAGATGAGGGAGCAGTTCCACTCCTTGCGCCGCTTGAGAATGCTGCAGAGGATGATGGAGTTGAGTGCCAAGCTGAGGATGCACGTGTAGGTGTAGCACACTGGCAGGAAAACGTACTTGTATGATTCATCCTTGCTGCAGGAGTTTGAGGCTGGGATTTCCTCACTCGAACCATTGTCAACCATCGGGCTTGTAACATTTTCGTTCATCTTCTAGACTTTGCTGCTTGTCGTAAGCATCGCTCACCAGTTCTGGATTCTCAGACCTAGAAGGGAACAAAGAAAGGACAGACGTGAGAAATCTCCGGGAGCTTGCTGTGCCCCCGTCAGTTGTCATGCTTACAAGTGACTGCACTTCGAAAGTGAATAAATCTGACCCATTGCGCATCCCTGATTTGTTTTACTGTGCCCTCTCCATCTAATTTCTTAGAACCCTGCAAGATCTCTGCACTCCTCCAATTCTGGCTTCTCAGTTTGGATCACACCACTGTTCGCTCAGCTCTCTGAGCCCGAAGCTCTGGAATTCTCTCCCCTAATCCTCTCTGCCCTTCTCTCATTCTCTCTCTTCCTTTAAGATGCTTCTTAAAAACCGACCTCTTTCATCCATCTTGATGTGTCCTCCAATGACTCTGTGTCAATTTTAGTTAGATTGTGCTCCCGGCTAAAGGTGGTGTAGAAATGTAAGTTGTTATAAAGTCATACAGCACAGAAACAGACTCTTCGGTCCAACTCGTCTAAGCTAACCAGGATTCCCAAACTGAACTGGTCCCATTTGCCTGCATTCGGCCTACGTCCCTCCATACCATTCCTATTCATGTGCCTGTCCAAATGTCTTTTAAATATTGTGATTGAACCCCAATCTACCACTTCCTCAAGCAGCCCATTCCATACACGCACCACCCTCTGTGTGAAAAAGTTGCCCCTCAGATCCCTTTTGAATCCTTCCCCTCTTATCTTAAACCCTCTAGTTTTGGACTCCCCTACCCTGGGGAAAAGACCTTGGCTATTCACCCTATCCATGCCCCTCATGATTTTATAAACCTCTATAAGGTCACCCCTCAGCCTTTGATGCCATGGGGAAAAGAGCCCTAGTCTGTTCAGCACTTTACAATGACCTGGGGTTGTGAACAGCCCAGTCGAAGTCTTCTTTAATTAGAGTGCTGCTTCTCTCTCCTTCAGCACACAAAAGGCCATTCAGCCTGCTGCACCTGTTCTAGCTCTTCATATGATCATGGCTGATCGTGGGCTTCGACTCCCCTTTCCCGCCTGTTCTCCCTGTCCCCTCGGTTCCCCAAGAGTCCAAAAAGCCATCTAATCCCAGCCTCAGCGATGGAAATTATAAGATAGACACATGTGATTTTGGTTTGGTCATGCTGACTGGAGGGAAATGTTGAAGGGGTTTTGTCCTGAACCCTTAACTGCACCCTCTAGACTCTACATGTGCTGCTTGACCTACCGACATTTCCCAGCTGTCTCCTCTCTTTCATTTCGGTTATCCAGCACAGATCTCGATTTTCAAACATCAGCAGGTAGTTCATGTGCCGTGGAATCAGAAGGTCAGAGTTCAAATCCCATTCCAGAGGCTTAACTGTAGAACCTGACCCACTGAGGGAGTGCTGCATTGTCACCGAGCCACTGTCTAGCAGATGAAGCGCTGTCTTCCCTGTCTGGTGAACAGAAGTCCAACAGTTCCAGGAGAAGAACTGGCCTTTTGTCTCTATCGCTTTAACCCTGACTATTAACATCCTGGGGTTTAACGATTCACTAATTTCAGTTTCTGGGATACTCCCCACTTGCCCTGGATGGGGGCAGCTCCAACAACGCTCAAGAAGCTCGACACCATCCAGGACAAAGCAGCCCCCACTTGATTAACTCCACAGATACCATCTTAAACATTCACTCCCTCCACCATCAACACAAGGTGTGTACCATCTACAAGATGCAGTGCAGAAATTCGCTAAGGCTCCTTAGACAGCACCTTCCAACCCCATTGACCACTACCATCTACACTACCACGTCCTACCACGGACAAGGACAACAGATACATGGGAACACCACCACTTGTAGGTTCCCCCTCAAGCCACTCACCATCCTGACTTGGAAATATATCGATGTTGGATCAAAATCCTGGAGCTGCGTCCCTAACAGCACTATGTGGGTGTTCCTACAGCACACAGACTGCAACAGTTCAAGAAGGCAGCTCACCCCCACCTTCTCAAGGGGCAATTAGCGACGTGCAATAAATGTTGGCCTAGCCAGTGGCACCCACGTCCAGCGAACGAAAAACAAGTTAGATTCTCCTTGGAGCAGAAAATATTAAAGGGCGATTGGGTGGACATTTTCAAAAGTTGTGAGGAATCTCGATAAATAAGAATAAACTGTTTACAATTGTCTAAAGTCCAAGAAGGTGGCTCATTACCACCTTTCCAGGGCAGTTAGAGCTGAGTATTAAATATTGTCAGATTGTTGGCTAAAGAGCCAGAGGTGCGGGATGATGGGAATTTTTATCAAAGTTGCAAGTTGTTGTAATCTGGCTGAAAAGGAAGCCACACTCATTTGGAGCTTTCAAAAAGGAATCAGAAAAATATTTGAAAAGGGAAGATTTGCAAGCCACTGGTGTAAGAACACAGGAATTGGATAATTCTTTCAAAGAGTGGGAAACACATAGTATGGGCCAAACGGCCTCCTGTCCTTTAGGCCTCTGTGATTCCCTGTTCCAAATCCAAAAACATAGAAAACTCCTCCAAATGAATCCATGATGTGATGACACCCAAAGGAGTCTCATGTCCAAGATTTTCTTGGAAAAAACACCGAGGCTAGGAACTTTTCATCTCTCCTCTCTCTCTCTCTGTCTCTCTCTCTCTCTGCCATCTCTCTCTCGCATCCTTTCTGTCCTTTAGTTTGTTCACTAAGGCAGGATTCTGTAAGTTTTCTGCACGGCTGTTGCACAATGTTCTGTGATGAGTAACAATTTAGGTTTGTGACAGCAATCCAAGCTATACTAATCTCTGCAAACTGTTAAAATGTAACCTAGTAACTGGCCAAATTGGGTGTTAAGTAACCAACAAAACCAGACCCCTTGCTCCTAAAAACCTCCTTTTGAAGAAGAGTCAATTTTGTTTTGAACTTGCGGCTGTGTAGAACATGTAAAGAAACAGCTCGAGTCACTGGAAAGGGATTTGAACTTTGAAGGGTTGAAGTGTGTGAGTGCACATTAGGGCGGTGGTTAAAATCTGTTTACAACCACTTTCAGCTTCACAGGATGAGAACATTGTGTGATATTAATTGGATGACATTCCCATCATGATGTGACACGTGCTGGTTGATAAGTGCAGTCTCCTGTTTAGAAAAGCATGATGATCGGAAATGACTGTTTCTGGATGGTTCACCAAGATGTTTTTTTTTCAAATGTATAAAAGGTCTCAATCCCCAGAAACCTGAACCTATAATTGAGGCTGACAATACTGAGGGAGTGCTTCAATAGGGAGGCATTTCTTTTGGATTTTTCCTTGAAGGTAACCATAAAGAAGCCTGTTAATCATACCCAACTAGGGATTTACCCGTGCTTCAATGGGTATACACCGTTGGGCAAAGGTTTGTAAATAAGTGCTAATAAAAATGTGTAAAGATTGGCTGTAGTTCTAACTTCCTCGACATTCGAATATAACATACTGAAAGGAAACATAAGAAAATGTGAGATGTTGGTAAGGCCAATCAGGGCAGGACTTATACACTTAATGGTAGGATCCTGGGGAATGGAGGGAACGAAGAGACCTAGGAGTGCAGGTTCACATTTCCTTAAAGGTGGAGTCGCAGGTAGACAGAGCGGTGAAGAAGGCATTTGGTACGCTTGCCTTTATTAGTCAGTGCATTGAGTATAGGAGTTGAGAGGGTCATGTTGTGGCTGTACAGGACATTGGTTAGACCACTATTGGAATACTGTGTTCAATTCTGGTCTCCCTGCTATAGGAAGGATGTTGTTAAACTTGAAAGGGTTTAGAAAAGATTTACAAGGATGTTGTCGGGGTTGGAGGGTTTGAGCTGCAGGGAGAGACTGAATAGGTTGGGGATATCTTCTCTGGAGCGTCAGAGGCGGAGGGGTGACTTTATAGAGGATTATAAAATCATGAGCGGCATGGATAGAGTGAATAGCCAAGGTCTTTTTCCAAGGGTAAGGAAAACCAAAACTGGGGGGATATAGGTTTAAGTTGACAGGAGAAAGATTTAAAAGGGGATGTCAGGGGCAAACTTTTCACGCAGAGGGTAGTGCATGTGTGGAATGAGCTGCCAGAGGAAGTGGTAGAGGCTGGTACAATTGCAACATTTAAAAAGCATCTGCATGGGTACATGAATAGGAAGGGTTTAGAGGGATATGGGTCAAATGCTGGCAAATGGGACTAAACTAAATTAGGATATGTGATCGGCATGGACAAGTTGGACCGAAGGGTCTGTTTCCATGCTGCACAGCTCTATTACTCTTAAAAATAAGGTTAGTAGAGTACTTGAAGTTTTTTTTTAAAATCTCCAACAACAGTTCACTGTCAGAGGGAATGAGGCTCTACATTTTTAATTGTCAGTTTCTGGACCACAGAGTTCAGTTATTGGTCATGTCTTAAAAAGGGGGACTTACGTTACCAATTACAGCAAACATTTTATTAACCAGCACCTATGGGATCAGGAGTGTGCCAGTTGATCTAATATTCCAGTTAATCAAAAGGTATACATAAGGGAAGTAAGCCCTGACTAAGCGAAGCTTCAAGACATGATCATCCCTTGAAAGTCTATGTAGAAACATAAATACAGCTCCTAAAAACACACTAAGTAATAGAAACGTAGTGCAGGTGTTATCCACATCACTGTTAGACTTCATTTACAGCATAAATACTTGGGCATTGCAATAGATCGTGGTATTTGAGGTATTTATATATATTTTGCTGGTTTATCAAGAATGCCAGTTGATAAGTTGCTGGTTAAAACAAAGTTTGCTGTAGTAGGCCCGATGTTCCGCGGTAAGTTCACTGATCCATTTATGTGCAAATAGTAGCAGTGTAATGAAAGGGGTTGGTGGGGGGTGGTGTTGTTAAAGGGCAAAATAGCCTTTTGAGGAGGAATTGTAGTGATCTGCATACAGCTCACAGGTTATCTTTCTTACTTCCCATAATGTTGGAAGATTCATGCATTTAATACCTTCACACGTGCACAAGATTCTGTTAGTGTCGTTTCAAATCCCAAGACAGCATAAAAGAGAAGGGAAGAAGGCAATTTG